CTGGGTCGATTTCTCTTGAACTGTGCCGAGTTTTCAAGAAATTCTTCAAAAATTAACCAATCTGGATGACACAGAACCATTCTAGGATAATACTTTGTGCATTGAGCGCAAAAAAATTTTTCCCAGCCATTTAACACTAGTGTCGTATTCACCCCTCCCATAAATGGGGTTCCACGAGGCGATTTCCCTAAAAAAAGGGTTGACCTTGAGCATTCATCCTCTCCTCCCAATCTAACACTTCCCCAGAGCCCTCCTTTTTGTTGACCTCAACCCTTTTGTACCCTTTCTTTCTCCTTTGATTTCTCCGTTGATCCCTCCGCTGATCTGTCATCCAGAATTCATTTGAATATCAAGTTTCGAACAATACGTGAACCTCTAGTGCTTTCCATAGTTGCTAATCATCGAAATCTTTTTGAGAAAAGATGCTTAGGCTGATTGTTCTGGATGCTTGGGTTGATGGCTTTAATTAGACAATGCCAATCAAGAAAATTCGATGAGGGAGTAATTAAACAAATTTGTTGAATTGTTCAAGGAGATGATGGTGGTAGTAGAGGAAAACGAAGAATGATTTAAACGTAGAACTTAAACGTAGAACTTAAACGTAGAACTTAAGCGTAGAACTTAATTTGATCAATTATCGATGTGGAGACGCTTTCACCATTCCTGCATTCCTGAAAAGAACCTGAAAAAAACGAATGCATTGAAAGTTAGTAATCATCTCATAAAATAAGAAAAATACACAAAAACCATAAAAGCAGGTAAGCAAAAAGTGAAATTGAGCTCAGAGCATAATAAGACGTTGTTGCTCATAGCATAATGCGACGTTGGGAATTCTTGGTGACCCTGTAACCCTGTTGTTGGTCACAATTCTTGGCCACAATTCTTGGCCTTAATCCTTGGCCACCCTGTAACCCTGTTCTTGGCCACAATTCTTGGCCACAGTTCTTGGCGACCCTGTAACCCTGTTCTTGGTCACAATTCTTGGCCATAATTCTTGGCCACAATTCTTGGCCACCCTGTAACCTTGTTCTTGGTCACATAAACGCTTTCCCATCACTCAATCACTTTGTTTTTCATTGTTATTTTGTAAAACGAACACTCTCTGCTTTGATTGTTTATGTTTTTCACCGAATTTCTCTCTCAGTTCTCTCAATTCCCCATTGAGAGTTGAGATTTTCTTTTCCCCAAATTTCCCCCATTGTTTACAAGTCAATCAAGCTAGTCACCAAGAGAGAAATGCTTATTTCTTGTTTTTAATTTTAATTAAAAGGCTGAATATCTTTTAGTTATAACTAGAAGGCTGAATATCTTTTAATTATAATTAAAAGCTGAATATCTTTTAATTCTTAACAAATCCTTGAATACTTCTTAACAAATCTTTGCATTATTCCTAACAAAATCTTTAAATGCTTTTTAACAAATCCTTGAATACTTCTTTGCATAACGTGCGTTCCAGCTCGGAAAGAAATGGGTTTTGTTTTTTGATTTCATATGGTTTTTCGACGATTTTCAACCCGGACAGCTCTGCACTAATTGTTCATTTTTTTAAATTACAAATTCTTAATTTTTTTTCTTGTCAAATCTTTTTGTGACCTCCAGATCGCTGAAAAATTTCTTCAAATTCATTTTTTGTTTTTTACTTTTTCAGATTTTTTCCTCATCTCATTTCTATCAAAATTTTCTGGTTCAATTCTTTTTTTCCGAGACGGTCTCGAAAGAATTTCGCTTTCTGGAAGTCACTTTTCCCATAGAACTGATTCCGGAAGGTTTTTTTGAGAAATGAAAAATTTCTGGAGAACTTTGCACTATTTTTTCGTTTTTTTTAAAATTACAAATTTTTGATTTTTTTCTTGTCAAACCTTTTTGTGACCTCCAGATCGCCAAAAAATTTCTTCAAATTCATTTTTTGCTTTTTACTTTTTCAAATTTGGCCCTCATCTCTTTTCTGTCAATTGTAGAGGTACTGTAAAGCTTCCTACGGCTCTCCAGCTCTCCAGCTCACAATCCAGGCTCTGTAATGACCTATCGAAAAGCCTGAGCAAGAGTTTGATCTCTTTTGATCTCTTATTTTCTACAATTCTTATTGTAAATCCTCAACCAACAGAGCTTTTTGCCGACTTTTTTTTCCTTTTCCCCAATCCAATTGTTCGCTTTTTTTTTTGCCTTTGATTACACTCAAAAGACCGATTTCTTTTCTTAAAGAAATCTTTAAAATCATTGAAATTAAAATCAAAATTTTTGTGCAAAAAAATTCTTCAATTTTAAAGATTTTTATTTGAAAAAATTCCAAATCCAAATTTTTACCAAATTTCAAATTTTTTTCTACCTTCTCTTTTTCTCTTTTTCTCTTTTTCATTAGCTTCTGTGACATCCAGAACCAGGTAAAATCAGTTTCCCATTTGAAAATGCGCTGCATAGCTGCGACTTTGAGAGCCGCGCACTGAGTGTCCCCTCGGGCACTCACCCCCAAAGAAAAGAGAAAAGTCGAGGCCGCAGACGGCTACAGTGACATCCAGCTAAGAGGGATCGAGAGGGAAAAGAGAGAAATGACAAGGCATTCCAGCGCTGACCGTCCAGTCCCCTTTCCTCGCCTCTCCTCACCCAGGTCACCCAGGTATTATTGAGCGATCGCCATTTTTTTTTCGTCTCGAACACATGAACATTGCATAACGTGCGTTCCAGCTCGGAAAGAAACGGGTTTTGTTTTTTCGTTTCGATTTGTTTTTTCGACGATTTTCAACTCTGGACAGTTTTTGTTTTCATTTTTTTTTTAAATTACAAATTCTTAATTTTTTTTCTTGTCAAATCTTTTTGTGACCTCCAGATCGCTGAAAAATTTCTTCAAATTCATTTTTTGCTTTCTACTTTTTCAGATTTTGGCCCTCATCTCATTTCTATCAAAATTCTCTCGTTCAATTCTTTTTTTCCGAGACGTTCTCGAAAGAATTTCGCTTTCTGGAAGTCACTTTTCCTATAGAACTGGTTTCGGAAGGTTTTTTTTCAGAAATGAAGAATTTTTTAAAAATGAAGATTTCTGGAGGTGGCAAAAAAACACTGAAAAAACTGCAAAACTGCAAAAACATCAAACCACAGTCGCAACTTTGTCAATATTGTTTTGTGCCCTCCAGATCGGCTGGGGAAAGCGGGGGATTGACCCGGGCTAAGCTAAAGCGGTGTATTTGGGAGGGGAGTCGCCCAATACCGGTTCTCATCGTCGCGCTGTACGCCCTGTACGCCCGCGAAAAAGTGTCTACCCCGTATTCCACTTCTTTTTGCCCCTCCGCAGCTCATTCTCACCTTTTCCATGTACTCTGTGCCTCGACGAGCTGTAATTTCCACCTCTAGAGTTAACTGGATCATCTCCAGCTTCACCCCCGCCTCGAGAACCCTTTTCTTTTCTTTTCTTTTTCTTTTCCACCCTTTCCCTTTCCAGTCTTCACCAATAATTTGCTCTCTTTGATTCATGCTTTCATTCGTGTGTTCTTTGTTCATTAATAAAGTTTGTTCCTCGCAAGTAATTCGTTTTTTAAAATCGGGAAAAACTACCGTACCTTTAGCGAGAATTATTGCAAAAAATTCGCGACAAAATGTCACAAGTGCCGCCTTATATACGCCTTTTTTTAAACACCACCTTATATATGCCGTCTTATATACGCCATCTTATATTCGCCGTCTGTTAAACGCCGTCTTTTAAACGCCGCCTTATATACGCATCCGTATATACGCCGCCTTATATACGCTGTCTTTTAAACGCCGCCTTATATACGCCGTATTTTAAACGTCACTTTATCTACGCCGTCTTATATACGCCGTCTTTTAAACGCCGCCTTATATACGCTATGCGCCGCCTTAGATACGCGGCCTTATAAACGCGGCCTTATATACGCCGTATTTTAAACGCCGCCTTATATACGCCGCCTTATATACGCCGCCTTATATACGCAGCCTTATATACCCCGCCTTAGATACGCCGCCTTAGTTACGTCGTCTTATATACGCCGTTTTGTGAACGCCGTCTTATATACGCTGCCTTATATATGCCGTCTTATATACGCCGTCTTATATACGCCGTCTTATATACGCCGTCTTCTATGCGCAGCCTTATATACGCCGTCTTATATACGCCGCCTTAGATACGCTGCCTTAGTTACGTCGTCTTATATACGCCGTCTTCTATACGCCGTCTCTTAAACGCCGCCCTGAGATACGCTGCCTTATATATGCCGTCTTTGAAACGCCGCCTTATATACGCTGCCTTATATACGCTGCCTTATATACGCTGCCTTATATACGCAGCCTTATATACGCCGCTTTTCAAAAACGTCACTTTATATACGCGGCCTTATATACGCCGCCTTATATACGCCGCCTTATATACGCCGCCTTATATACGCCGTTTTGTGAACGCCGCCTTATATACGCTGTGCGCCGTCTTATATACGCCGTCTTTTAAACGCCTCCTTATATACGCCGTTTTTTAAACGTCACTTTATATACGCAGCCTTATAGACGCAGCCTTATATACGCCGTCTTATATACGCCGTCTTTTAAACGCCTCCTTATATATGCCGTCTTTTAAACGCCGCCTTAGATACGCTGCCTTAGTTACGTCGTCTTATATACGCCGTCTTATATACGCCGTCTTATATACGCCGTCTTCTATATCCCGTCTTTGAAACGCTGCCTTATATACGCAGCCTTATATACGCCGCTTTTTAAAGATATTCAGCCTTTTAACTAATTTCGTGGCGAATTCCTCTTGAAATGTAAAGATTTTGAATCTACTCGACGTGTAAATTCGTGCTAGTCGAGTTCTCTCAATTGGAAATCCGTATCCAGTGATGGATAAGTTGTGGCAAGAAGGCAAGAAGGCAAGACGGCAAGAACTTCTTGCCAGGAGGCAAGAACACGGGGAAAGGGCGAACAATTAACTGGACTCAACGTAGAAGAAATGTTGCAGCACAAACGCACTTTTGGTGCAACAATGATATTAGAACGAGATGGTCTACCCAATCCTAAATCCCGGCACAAAAAAGCGTTTGGAAGGCGGATTTGGAAATATGGCCGTTGCAGCTGCTCCACAAGGCCGTCTGCGGTCGGCTGCTGCTCGATTCTTCGATTACGGATCCAATTGTGGCCAGGTTTTTGGAAGAAATAGCCTGAGAATGTGTTCACTCCATTAACTTTTTTTTGAGTAGACAGATTTTCACGAAACTTTGGCTGTTTCTTAGTTGGATAGCACGTAAAAATTGGTGTTGATTAGATTGATGAAATTCTTGATTTTTAGAGAATCGATTTTAGACTCCTTGAACCCGAATTTTGTCCAGTTTCTAGTTAACAGCTTAATAAATGCTTAATGCTTACTCATCGCATCATACAAATCATCATTCCGGCTTCTTTGTGACCGAATTTGAGTGACGTGTGTCCTCGAGAACTCTTGCATCATCTGATAGATAGACTGATAGATAGCTGACTAAAATCCAGGTCTTAAAGGCCTCCTCATCCTCTTTCTCCTCAAGATCTATCAATCCTGGAACGCACTACGGTGTTTGCCTTGAAAAATTTCTGTTCTAAATGCAATTTCAACTCTTGCATTAACTGATAGGTAGCTGACTAAAATCCAGGTCTTAAAGAGCTCCTCATCTTCTTTCTCCTCAAGATCTATCAATCCTGGAACGCACTACGGTGATTCCCTTGAAAAACTCCTGTCCTAGATGCAATTTGAAATTCATTACCATTCTTGATTTCAACAATGACGCCTTCCAAATTCCCTACTCCCAAATCGTTTCCCCATTCAGCTTTCCCTTCCCTCTCTCCATTCCTCCAATCAACATCTCGATCTTGTCCATTTCCTCGTTGACTCACTCCACAAAACGGGCGGACAAGCTCTCGAGAAAACACACCAACGCCACTTGAACAACTCCGTTCCAAACAATCCCATTTCTGGTTTGATAAATTCATTTTCCTCGGTTGATTCGGCCATCCTGGAGTGCACAATGGTTTTTAAAATAAACACTTTTTGATTTAAACCATTTTGCCACTTTTTCTTTTCACTGATTCTAGTACACCGCTATTTCTCGCATATATGCAAATTAATTTCGAAAAATTTCCATTTATATCTTCAAATTGGATGTCAGAACATCGGAAAATGAGGGGGTTTTTTTGATTTGAATGTTTTTAGACCTATGGTACTGTACCAGCCTGTACACTGTACCTGAAACCTAACCCCACCAAATTCTCACCCGCTAATTGACCCATTTTGAGCTGAATGAGCTTTGTGAGTTCCAGGATGGCCAGCAACCCAGCCAGGACGGCCAAAACCCCCATTCAACGCTTGAAACAACAATGAAAGCGGAGAAAGCGCGCCCCTGAAAAGGACTGACCTTGTTTGGGCCACTTGGAAATGGGAACCATCCGATCCTTGGCCGTTTTCGGGATTCCTGGAGGTCATCGCGAAATCTGAGAGAATCAGGAGGGTGGTGGTTGAAAGGATTCCCGAAGTCGATACTCCAACTCTTGGAGCTCCGTTTTTTCCCTCCTTAATGCTTTTCAAAAAATTTTGTACTGCTTTTTTGAAATCCTGGAACGCACGAAGGCGATTCCCATATTTCCCAAAAGCTGTTTTTTTCATTTAAACAATTTCTGTTTTTCAATTTTTGATTTCTCACCTAATTTCTTTGTTTCAAATTAGCAATTCTATTTTCCAATTCACTAAAAGTCAATTCTGGAGCGCACAGAGAAGTTTGGATCAAAAAAATCTTGAAATTTTGAGAAATAAAATTTTTTGTCAAATTTCGTCATTTTTCTTTCAATTCCAGCTGAATTGTCTAGAATCAAGAAAGCAAAAAGATCGAATCAGGCCCAGAAAACCGGCGCATTCTTTAGTGTGATGTCCAGCTTGGAGAAAGAGAAAGGGCTAAACCCGCGGGCTCGACGGGAAACAGGGGAATGGTTTTAGAAAAGGATCGAGGGGGACTCAAGTGACTGTCCACCCCCCGGCCCCCCCTCCCCAGGGTCCAGGGGTGGTCCTGTGGTCTTTCTTTTTCGCTTTCGAGTACTCCCATCACTCCCAAGAAGAAAACCGAAGGATTACGAAAAATTGTGAAATTCAGCAATTCCTCAGCCAGTAATTCCTCTGGTTCAAGATTGGCCCGAATTTTTGCGTTTCTATTCAATTTTTTGAAATTCTCTTTACTGATACTTCTAAGTTGGATGTCACACTATAGAAATTTGCATTTAACAAGTTAAAAACTTTTTGTTTTCGAATGGCGGCAAGATCAAAGGGCTTTCCTTATCGAGCCAGTTTACGCTCTATTTTTGACTTATTTCTCGAAATTTCAATTTTAAACCTCTATCTGGAAGGCACGCTTTAAGAATTTGATATGCTTTAAATATAAATGCTAATTTTTAAAACATCGACTACGAGACTGTACGCTATTACCGTACTCTATTTTTTTAAAGACTTTAACGACTTATTTTTCTCTACAATTCTCCCGTGCCTTCCAGGATCACGAAATCTTGCGATCGTTTTCCTTTCTAAAGCCATTTAGCCATTTTTTTCGGCACCAACTCGATCCACTCAATGTCCCTCGCTTTTTTTCTCAATTCCCTTGTTCTTCTCTTTACTAAACGCCATCGTGATATCCAGAAAGATGATTCCGATTGCCGAATCACGAAAATCCATTCATTTTCTGGACTTTAGAGCGGCAGTCCTGTTTTTTCTCTTTTTCGGTCGATTTTCCCTCTCTTTCCCTCTCTTTCCCGACCGACAATTATTACTGTACGAAGGAGAGGACATATTTTTGATGTCAAGGACTCTTTCTCTCGCAGTTGCCCTTCTCTTTGTCGATCGGTCGATTGGTGAAAGTTCGTTCAATTCTCGATCTTCTGAACTCAAAAAAGGACCAAATTCCTTCAATATTTCTTTCATTTCTTGCATTTTTAAATATCAATTTACCCATTTAACAAGTTCGCAATCGATTTTGCATTAAAAAAATTCTTTTTTTAAAATTTCTGCACCAAGCGGACTCGAACCTGGACCCTTGGCCTGCCCCCAATCGCCTGGAAAACAAACGCTTTACCGACTGCGCCATCCATGCACTACGCGATTTTCTTTTGCAATTTGTATTTTCTTTCTCTGTGACACCCAGAATGAACTTTAAACTTTAAAAATAGACGTAATTATCTCATTTTGCTCGTTTTTTAAATGGCAACTCGATTTCGTGACTAAAATTGTGGTATAACTCTGTAAAAATGAACTTTTTCATAAAGCAAATTAAAAACTGGATGTCACAAAAGCCTTTCCAATCTTTACCTATGACTTTTTTCGGTAAAAAAAAGTTTTTTTGTTTACTCTAGCGACCCTTTCTTAGTCTTGTCCTTGTACAAAAGTTGTCGCTTTTTTTTCTTTCTTTTCTCATCAACGGGCTGAGTTGTGTGGGTGACACGAAAAAGGACCCAAAATCAAACCTTTTTACTACCAAACTTTCCCATCGCTTTTATTGAAAAGGGTGCAAAAGAAACGATTTTTACAAGAAACGATTGTAAAATTGCATTTAAAAATTGCAAATTGCATTTTTTAAAATGCAAATTGATTGCAAATTAAATGCAAATTTAAATGCAAATTAAATGCAAATTAAAATCCAATTTAAATGCAATTTAAATGCAAATTGCTTTCAAATTCCATTTAAAAAAACCTTTTAAAATGCAAATCTAAATGTAAATTAAATGTAAATTAAATGCAAATTAAATGCTAATTAAATGTAAATTGATCGCAAATTAAATGCAAATTTAAATGCAAATTGATGGCAAATTTCAATGCAAATTAAATGCAAATTTAAAATTTAAAATTAAATGCAAATTGCTTTCAAATTGCATTTAAAAAAGCCTTTTTTTGAATGCAAATTTGTGAATTCATTTTCTACGAATCATCCTTGTGTCTTCCAGGATAGACAAAAAGCTGTTTACTAACGAATTTGGAGTACGGTAGGCTACGCTAGGCTACGCGTCATTTTCGCAGAACTTTGTACATTTTCTTAAAACATTTCTAGGTCGCTATTCTTACTTTCTACTTTTGTGACATCCAGAATAACCATTTCCCTTCTCAGAATCGTTTTATTTCCCTTCCAACTGTAGTCTTTGTGGCCGTAGTCCTCATTTCCTGTTATCCCCACATTTCCCTGAGAATTCCGCAATTAGTCACTCTTTTTAAAATGTTATTTGGTTGATCTGGAAGGCACACTAGATAACTAAAGAGAGATTGAGAGAGAATTTTGAGTTTTTAAAAAAATTTTAGGTCAAAGCCTTGATTTAAAAGATTCAACATCAAAATTTAGCTTTTTTAATTTTTTTTTTAAAACCCATTGCACATTATTTCTTTTTCTTTTATCCAATCATATCTTTTCGAAATCGTTTCTTTTCTCGGATCGAATCGGTGTTTTTGTGTTTCTCGCGGGATCTCTCTCTCTGTTGACACCTCCCCTCGCACCGAATCATCCCAATTTTTTTTTGCGCAAAAATCATTGTTCGCTCAATCGGGCGTCCCTGGTGAGCTCCAGTTTGACTTGTGGCTGCAAAAAATTTGCAGTTTCATGATTTTCAAGCAAGATTTTGAGCCATTCTCAAATGAGACAAATGACCCAAATGACGAATGACCGTTCCGCATCATCTAATCGCTTGACCGTTCTTGTTGTGCTCCAGTTTGGTTAGTTTTTTCGAAAAAACTGCAATCAATCGATTCTCGACAGAGATTTTGAGCCATTCTCAAATGAGAGAAATGATCCAAATGACAAATGACCGTTTTGCATGATCTAATTGCTTGACCATTCCTGGTGAGCTCCAGTTTGACTTGTGGCTGAAAAAAATTTGCAGTTTCATGATTTCCAAGCAAGATTTTGAGCCATTCTTAAATGAGACAAATGACAAATGACCGTTTCGCATCATCTAATTGCTTGACCATTCCTGGTGAGCTCCAGTTTAGCTCCTTTTTTTGAAAAAACTGCAATCAATCGATTCTCGGCAAGGATTCTGAGCCATTCTCAATCTCTGGTTGTACAAACAACAACGTGTGAAAAATCACGGCCACTGCCGGCTCCTTTTTGTTTGATATTCAAATTTCCCTGTCTTTCCGCTTTCTTTTTCCCACCGTTTTTTTTCGATGATTCACTCCAGCCCGAGGCTTCCTGGTGGCAAATCCATTATCTAACTTTCAAGTACGCTCCGCTCCTTTGTACACTGCTATTTTATCTAGATTTGCCAATTTTTCGTCTTGGAATTTGTTCTGTGCGTTCCAGGATTACCATTTTTCAAGTTAAAAACATTTTCCGAGTTATTTACGCAAAAATCTAAGGCAGATCTCTTTCCTCGAACTCGACTTTCGATTTTTGAGTAGAAACCGAAATTTGAGTAGCACGTTATTCCGTGTGCCTTCCAGAATTGCCATTTCTTCAATCAGAAAAGATTTTGGGCTAACGAATAAGGAAATAAACGCCCAGTCCTTGTTTCGGTTTTCGGTCCCTCCTCAAATCTAGAGGTACCAGGTTCCCCAATTCACCTAAACAGTCGCCAGCATTTCGAAAAAGGTTAAAGACGCCGTGAAAAGTGTCATTCCTCTCACGCGACTCTTCCCCGCGCACTAGAAAGCTGTTAAGAGTCAACAAGAGCCCTAAACCCATTCGCTAAACCCGTTCATTGCCCAAATCAACCGCAATAGTTTCCGAAAGCTTTTCATTGATCAATCTGGAGATCAATCTGGAGATCAAGCTATCAAAGCATCAAGCTATCAAAGCAAATGGATTACAAATGGAACGGCTTGAACCCTGGCTTGGAGGGAAGAGCTTGAGGGGAAGAGCTTGAGGGGAAGAGCTTGGAGGGAAGAGCTTGGAGGGAAGAGCTTGGAGAGACAAGAGTCTCAGCTCCAGGTCCAAGATTAGCCACTAGTCCCTAGATTCCAGGCTCTCAGGCTCTAGATGAAGTCTCAGCCAGGTTCTAGATGGTTCTAGATTCCTAGAGTCTTCAGGCGGAAGTCCCCAGGTCCCCCTAGAAGGTCCCCAGGTCCCCCTAGAAGGTCCCCAGGTCCCCAGGTCCCCAGGTCCCCAGGTCCCCAGGTCCCCTAGAAGGTCCCCAGGTCCCCCTAGAAGGTCCCCAGGTCCCCCTAGAAGGTCCCCAGGTCCCCCTAGAAGGTCCCCAGGTCCCCCTAGAAGGTCCCCAGGTCCCCCTAGAAGGTCCCCAGGTCCCCCAGAAGGTCCCCAGGTCCCCTAGAAGGTCCCCAGGTCCCCCCAGAAGGTCCCCAGGTCCCCCAGAAGGTCCCCAGGTCCCCCAGAAGGTCCCCAGGTCCCCTAGAAGGTCCCCAGGTCCCCCAGAAGGTCCCCAGGTCCCCCTAGAAGGTCCCCAGGTCCCCCTAGAAGGTCCCCAGGTCCCCCTAGAAGGTCCCCAGGTCCCCCTAGAAGGTCC